GAGTCTGGCTCCAGCTGCACCAGCCACCCAGGGGACAGGAAGGGACTTCGAGGGACAAGCCCTGGAGCGATGCAGTCCCCACCAGCCCGTGGCGAGACCCGCCTGGGTCCTGTGTGCCTGGCTGAACAGCATCACAACCGGCGGGGTCTTCCACAGCTCAGCACTTGGGGCAGGGCTGTGTCTCCACCACCACCTCCAACTATTCCCCATGGGCTGCCAGGACCCACAGGGTGTGCATGTGTGCAGCTGTGCATACATGTGCATGTATGTTTGCATGCATGCGTATGTGCAAACGTATACACAGGTGGGTGTGCAAGTGTGTGCAGGTATCCATGCATATGCGTGTGAGTATGCTTGTGTATCCATGCGTCGCCACACATGGAACAGACCCCTGATGGCCTGTACTGGGGGGGCAACACTGGGAATAAAATGCACCTGATCACCATGAGCCTCTGGGTCATTTCTTGCTAGGATCCACCTGCACCCCCACAGGGGGGTGGGGGGGGTTGCAGCCCCTGTGAGAAGGGGGCATCTGTCTGATAGAGGGGTGGGCAAGGGCAACAGAAGTCCCCAACCCAACCCCTCTCACCTCATCATCTGCACAGCTAACCCTGCAGCCCACTGCCTGGGGCTGAGGGGCAGGACTCGCTTCCTCATTTGTCCCCATTCAGAAACAGGGCAAGTGGAGGAAGCACAGGCCGGAAGCAAGGCCCCTCTGGCTCAGCAAGGCCCGCTGAGAGAACCACAGGCTTCCTGGCATGGCCGCTTATGGGAATGGGGCAGACTGGGGGTGGGGCAAGGGGGCAGGCCCAGCACCAAGATGCAGCTACCTCTGGGAAGCAGTGGGGAAACTGCTTCACTGCCTTCTCAAGGGTGCATGGGGGCAGTGGGCTCTTGGCACCAGAACTAGCTCAACGGGGGATGTGGGCATGATGACAACACACCATTGGTGGGTGCTTCAAAGCCACTTGGAACAGGAAGTGAGGGCACGGTCAGGCTCAGGGGCAGGGGAGGGACTGGGTGAGGAAGCTGTCCCTGTATGACCTTGCCAGGGTTGTGGGGAGGGGCAAGGAATCTGGTGCCATGTGGTCCCCCAGTTTCCCCACTTGCTCCTGTGGCCTGTGAGAGTGCAGGCAGGCTGAGCAAGCTGAGACAGAACCCTGCACCTCCCAGTAGTGCAGGCGCAGGGCTTCAGGGGTGGGCTGCATAGCCAAGGACATGATGCAGCAGGTCTAGGCCTGGAGGCCAATTCAGGGCTGAAGAAAAGCAGGTCCTGCCTGCCATGGGTCACCAGCTGGAATGAGAGCCTTGGTGGCCCCCAACCCCAGTTGCCCCCCTAAAACCTGGATTTCCCCCTGCAAACTCTATCTGCACTCCCCACCACCTCACAAGCAGATTCTCCCACTGCAGAGACAAGTTAAGGGACAGACCTGATTTGCTACAGGCTGCAAGGGTCCTGACCCACCCCACAGCTCCCAGATCCTGGAAGGGAACCCAGGAGTCCTGGCTCAGATCCCCACCCCCAAGTCTCACCATTGAAACAGTGACACAGCCACTGCAGGGTGGTTCTCTCCAGCAGCGCCCCCTCCATAGCCCCTTTGCCTGGATTCCAATCCCCACCCCCCATTTCTCCCAGGACTTCTGGGTTCCTTTTCTAGTGGGCAGAGGCTCCCCCGCCAGGCCTGGCAGAGACGTGAGCTACAGCCTGGGATAGAGGGGGCACAGGCAGGCACAAAGGGATAGGGGGCTCCCCCAGAACAGCCTCAGGCAGATGTCACACACGGACAGGAGCTGTGTATTGGCAGGTGCCTGGCGACCCCTACTGGGCATCAGGGGAGCAGCAACACAGCGGAGAACCCAGGCATCCAGTCTCTCAGCCTCCTCCCTGCTTTGATCCATCCCTTTATTCCAGCTAAACCCCACTCCTCTCCCAGAGCTAACAGAACCCAGGTGTCCAGGTTCCCAACACCCGCACCCATTGCTCCAGCCCCCTGGCCCCCATTCCCCTCACAGAGCTGGCAGGCAGCTGGGCTCCCTAGGCAGGGCTCAGGCACCTGGGCTCTAAAGCAGCACCTCCCCAGGTGAGAATCCAGGTGTCCAGGCCATCCAGGCCTGGTGAGACCCTGGGACATGAACTTATGGGACTTGCTGCTGCCAGCCAGTCCTTCCTAGTCTGCCTCTGCCCCACAGCTCCCAGCAGACCCCTGAGTCTGCTCTAAGCTGTCCCCATGGAAGGGCTAGGGGAGGCAGCACCCATTCCATCAACTCCCTTGGAACCCATGTCCCCAGGCTTCCCCCAGCTGCCACTGTTATCTCTGGAGGAACACTCAGGATAGAGAAGGGAGTGGTACCCAGGGGTTAGAGCAGTTGTTCCTGGGTCCAGGAACTGCAGGGCAGGATTTATTGGGGGG